TGATTATCCGAGAACTGGACAAAAGACCAAATTTATCTCGATCTAATTTTTCTATCATAGCTATAAACAATCTTTATTTTCTTTACTCCTTTTATTCATTTACGTTGTTTTAAAATAATAGCATACTTGATTTCAAGTTCTTGAGTTTTTTCATCAATATCAAATTATCTCTTATGCAATAAAAGTTTAGAAAATTCCATACATTTGTTTTAGTTATCATTGCAGAAGAATGTATATATTATTGAGTTGAATTAAATAGAAATGTAGCTTTTCGATCAGCTATTCATCTGAACTTTTTTGTTTTATAGGTGATAATGACATATTTAAAAATGTTGATTTATATTTTCTAGGATGATCTACCTAATTTGAAATGTTTCTCTTTAACGTGTCGTTGCTTCACTGATGACTATGATACTCAAGTTTTACCTCTTCTTCGTCGTATGTCAAATCTTGAAGAATTAGCTTTCAATATTATTAACCAGAATCGAACTACATTTGTCGATGGTACTCAGATTAATAATGAAATTCTTGTTCATATGCCACGGCTTTATAAATTTGATTTTAATATCAATACCGAAACTAAACTGCATCATTTAGTTCATTATTTATCGAGCGATGATATTCAACGAACTTTTACTAACATAGGATATCAACACGTGGGTTGTATTCTATACTACATCAATAGTAGTGCCATATGTCATGTTTTTTCACTACCATTCATGTTTCATTATCTCGAAAATATCGGGAACACATTTCCACCGATTATTTTCGGTCATGTTACAGAGTTGGCTTTGTACGATATAGTTCCATTCAAACACGAATTTTTCATCCGAATTGCTCGCTCTTTTCCGTTGCTTAAAAAATTACGTATTATTAATTCTAAGTCACAGTCACAAATGTCAAATAATTGGAACTCTAAAGATAATCAATTGTATTCAATTGTTGAATATCCTTATCTTATTTCGCTTTGTATCTTGGTATCTCATATTGATTATGTTGAGCAGTTTCTCAATGAAACAAAAACACATCTACCTCATTTAACTAAATTAAGAGTCGATTATGATCAATTAGCAGTCGTAACAAACAACTTCACAAGAGATACAACACGGGTCAATTGTGCTAAAGTGAAACAATTAATTATTGAAAAAACACTAGTGCATTCAAAAGATTTTAATGTTTATTTTCCTCTATTGTAATCTTGTTTGTGTTTTGATTAGGTTAATAAAATAAATAATAAAAAGATTTTAATAGTAATTAGTTTCCAGTCTAATAAGAGTGAAGAATAATTATTACTCAACATGGAGAAGTCACCTTCTATGAAATCTTAACTAATTCTTACTAGTACAGGAGCTAAGCGAAATGAATCATCGAATCAATATCAAACAATAATAATTCGACCCCAGTATCACGAAAGAAAAAAAAATGAAGAAAGCGAAAATGAACAAGCATTGAAAAATAATGATTCAGCAGATAAAAATAAAATTGAAATCGAAGAATGTGACGATGACGATTAACTATAAAGAATTTTATTTATATAAAAACACTAAACTTGTATTTATTTTTATTAAAGATAAAAACATCAAAACGTAGAACAAAAACGACAAATAGAGAGAAAAAAGCTTGTTAGCGCAGCCTCTTTGGAGCTGAAATGTGGAACGCACATGTCTTTTAGCTTCATTATACTAGTACAAAATACACAAGACGTAAAATCTCTAAACGGCCAAAGTTATTTTCATACGGTGATCGATTTTCGGGAAACGCTTTCTTTTTTATTTCTATATTTTGAACAAAATTGTTTTTAGCGGCGCTCTATTTTTCGTTTTTTCATTGTTGCTGTTCAATCCTTATTTTTCATTTTCACAACTCTTTTAAAAAAAATTTTTTTTGATTATTATAATTATTGAGTCAAATGCAAATAAGGTTGTTATAAATATCCATTATTTAATCCTGGTTGTTCAGGTCTGTAATGGGGGAGGGGTGTGACGGCAACAACGTCACTGATCTTATCTTGATGTTTGTTATATTATGTATGTTTATTTCTCCTGTGTTGTTCTCTCTTGTTACTTATTGTCGCGCTTGTATTTTTCACTATTGGCATCGTTTTCTGTTTTTCGCGCTTAGACTCAGAAAAATGAGTTTTTTATTAATTTAATTATTCTTTTTCTTCTCATCAAGTTTCTTCAAGTTTCTTGATACATATATATCTCTCTTCACTGAGATATACTAATTATTCTTTTTCTTCTCTATCAAAAAGAATCACCTTTTTGATCGATTACATATTACCTTTTTCTTTTCAACCTGATTGTTCTTTACAATCAATCTACTCGATTGTCCCTTGCAATCGTTCGAACTCGTGTCAGCTAATTGCTTGTGGAGTTCTTCTTATTCTCAACTATTTCTGTTCATTGAATAAACAATTGGATCTTCATCCAATATTCAATATTATTTTATTTTCATTGTTGTCATTTTGCCATAACCAATACTGTGGCACCTGGCATTTTTATTAGTTGCGCCTCTGATCCGCATCAAGGCGTTACAAGGGGGCGAGGTTTACTATGGTCAGTAGTGGGGAGGGATGAAAAACTTACACTCACTATTTTCTTCGACAATATATGTGAGTTCCATAAAATCGGCAAAATATGCTCATCAGAGTACTTTAACAAATCTTTCTTTGGATTTTCTTAAATATGGAAAACGACGGTGAATATTTTTATATAAATTTGATTTTTATTAATTGATAATGACTAATAATAAATACTGCTACTTCCTCACCTTATATACGCCTCTTCACTCTCGCTCATTGTTGTACCAGTCAATGTGTATAAGGTGTGTATATTCTGAAGAAGAACCCAAATACTTTTCCTTATCTTAATCCTAATATATTTAATTATTTTTTGTTTGTTAATAGTGATAGTGATACTAATTGTCGTCTTTATACAGATCAAAACATGTTCATTAATCAAATAGATATCCTTTGCATTATTTGTTCTATTTAATATGTTATAGATTATGAGCCACTTGCATTGTATATGTCTGAAGATTATCTCAATATTCAAATACCTGTAAGTTCTATTGATCTTTTTATTTTATCAAACTATGCTACTTGTCAGATGATATGTTAATTGTAGACATTGAAAATAAATTGTCTTGACACAATTCTTGTCTTTGAATTAACTATTTTGTCTTCAAATTCTTAATAATCAACGATATTTTTATTCTTTAAATCGACAATATGAACTTTGTATGTTACATATTTTAATTCAATAGATAATATGGATACGTTTATTTATACACTAGAATTACATTTAAAAATGAAATATAAAATCGAAAAACAAAAGAAATGTGTGCGTATGGTTAGAGAGAGCGAAGGAAAACAAAAAGAAAAGAAAATCTATTTCGACTAAATCATTTATTTTCTTCTCCTTAGTCATATTTATTAATTCATTCATTTTGTTATCGTTTACATCAAGATGCAACGTATTTTATTCGAAGAGCATCTTCTAAGTGCAGTAAAAACAGAAGTACGTTTCCCATTGTGTACTATTCAAACATTATATTTTTACATGTTTTAGATTAATGAATTAGAAAAAGCTTGTTAGCGCAGCCCCTTTGGGGCTAAAATGTGGAACTCACATATGATTTTTCGCCTAATTTACTTACGCATAATGCGTGGTGCGACATTTACTAAACCCCTACACAGAATAGAAGCCCACCCCTGGGTTAGATTTCTAAGTTGAAAATCAAGGTTTACTTCATGAAAAATGAACTAAAACCGATGACAACTGAAAAGATGAACATTTCTCCATCAAATAACGCAAAAACTGGCACCAAGTCATACTTTGTTACAAAATTATAGCTTGCGGAACAGAGACACCATCCATGGGCTTCTATTCTGTAGGGGTTTTTACAAGAAAATCGATCGGTAGGAAAAAAATATCTTATTTGATTTTTGCATGCTTGCTAATATCTGTGATGTAAGGTGGTATCTGTAAGTCGGTGTAAGGTGGGGGGTTTCT